ATAACTTTAAGTCTTTTGAACTTTTTAACTGTGAATCGCTTTAAAACTGGATGGAACCAGGCAGTAGTGGTGCACGCCCTTAATCCCAGCACTTGGGAGGCAGGGGCAGGTGGATCCTTGGGGTCAAGGCCAGCTTGGTTTCTCAGGTGGATTTCTGAGAGCAAGTTCCAGGACAGGCAGGGTTACACAGAGAAATCCTGTCTCAAAAAACAAAAGCAAAAAAAGGAAGGGTACAGTTCTTCTCATTGTGGCCATGTTGAATATAATATCTCCTCAACCTCGTGTTAGATTCCTAATAGATTTTCTACTACTTACCCTAATCTATTGCTAATTCTTCCTTTGCAGTGTGATCTATTTGAAACACTGCGTTTTCATTTCCAGCATTTCTATTCAACTGTTGTTTTGTTTGTCCCAGCTTTCTTGTTGAACTTCTCGGTGTTCTTGGCTTCCTTGACCAGGTTCTAAGGTGCCTTCTTACTTCTTGATCTGCTTGTTTGGGTCCACTTTGATGACACTTTGTATTTTTTATTAATACTTTGGCATATCAACTATTTCCATATCTTTGATTTAGTAGTTGAAGAAGCATGGTCTTTTAAAGGAGTTACAACGCTTTGCTTTTTCATGTTTTTTTGTGTTTCTGAGCTGTGATTTGCTCATCTATTGGGATAGTTGTCTCTTCCAATTTTATTCTGCAGTCTCCCTCTCTCTTTGAGGGTTTAGCCCCAAGTACCACTCAGAGAAGAGAAAACAAACTGCTATAACAGCAACAGCACCAAACCAAACCAGATAAGGAAACATAACTAAAAATCAGTTAAAGCTAACTGCCATGCCACCAATAACCCTAGAAAATAAAATGGATAAAAATTATATAGAGCCCTGTGAAAGTAAAATGATTGTGGTAAACAAGAAAGTATGTATATGATAACAATGAAGAATGAAATAAAGGACGGGGACAGAAAAGGAAGAAAGAAAGCTTAAATATGGGGCTGGAGAGATGGCTCAGAGGTTAAGAGCACTGACTGCTCTTCCAGAGGTCCTGTGTTCAATTCCCCACCAACCACATGGTGGCTCTCAACCATCTGTAATGAGATCTGGTGCCCTCTTCTGGCAAGCAGGCAGGCAGACAGAACACTGTATACATAATAAATAAATAAATCTTTAAAAAAAAACGCTTAAATAGAGAAAATAAGAAAAAGGCAAAGAAAGTAAGGAAGAAGGAGGGAGCAAGAGATGAAAATCTGAACAAGAAAGAACAATTTTTAAACAACATTAGATAAAGATAAAAGGGGGATGGAAATACAAATGCTTTTAAAAAGTAAAATAAAATAAACAAACTAGGACTGGTGAAGTGGCTTAATCTAAACCTCGAGATCTGAGCTTTATTCCTGGAACCTCCACGTTAGTGGAATAGAAAACCAGTTCCACAGACCTGTCCTCTGACTTCTACACGCATATCTTAGTACATGTGCCCACACACACACACTAATAATTTTTAAAGACTTATTTCAATTTTTTAATATGTATACGTGTATGTGAGTGCAGGTGCCCAAAGAGGCCAGAAGAGGGCACTGGACCACTGACGCTAGAGTTCTAGGTGGCTGTGAGCTGCCCAACATAACTGCTGAGACCTGAACGTGGGTCCTCTGCAAGAGTGGTGTGTGATTTTAACTGCAGAGCCATCTCTACAGCCTCCAATCCCCGTGACCTTTTTTCCAAGTTTTGTAACAAACACACGGGAGGTTTTGCAGCACCCTCTGGGGGAGGGGGGGGGGGGGAGGGGGGGCCGGGGCGGGGCTAAGGCTCTTTCCTGTTTCTCTGCGCAGCTTCTTTCTCTCCTGCCTCTCAGGAGCCCTGCTGCTCCTCTCACTTGCTCTTTGGAATAAAATCCGCCTTCTGTTACCGCGACACCTCTCATTCACAGTCACACACAGGCAGCTTCTAACATGTCACCTTCCTCTGAAGTCTCATTTTCAAGAGATCTTGATTTTTTTTTCACAAAATTTCTCCCTGGGTGCTGGGAAATGCCGACATCTTGTCTACACTTTCCCACTTCAGGAGCCTGTGACCTTGGAGAGGCGTGGGTGGCTCCCACATCAAGCAGTTCTGTGGCTGTAGCCTGCAGCGGGGCATCCCCCAAACCAAGGAGGTTCCGACACTCTCTACCTGGAGGTGGCCTCCATTTCCCCGGGCTAGGGCTCAGTCCCCAGGCTGCCTGCCCCCTTTAGATACTGTCACAACCCCAACTGTCATGCCCATTCCCCTGGCCAACAGTCACTGATGGGGACTCCCGCATTCACCTCCTCATCTTCACTTCATCTCCTCAAGCAGCTAAGGGAACTCGGGGGAGACACTCTCGAGCATATTCATTTGTTACAAAAGATATTACAAAGCATACTGATGAAAGTGTGTAGAGAGAGGTGTGGGGAAGGAAATAAGCATCTCTGCCCTTTCCAGGTGCTGACAATCTCCAGAAGCTTCTCTGTGTTGAGCTATCAAGGAAGCTCTGTGAACTCTGACCTTTCTAGTTCCTGTGCAGACTCTATTTCCTGTGCAATGGTCTGGCAGGGGGAGCAATCAAGGACCGTGTGCTCAGGTGCTTCCTGTTGCATGTGTGTGTGTGTGTGTGTGTGTGTGTGTGTGTGTGTGTGTGTGTGTGCGTGCAACATTCCTCCCTCCGGGCATTGGGCAGGAACTGTCTATAATAAGGAGAGTCAGCCGGCCAGGCGGGCGGTGATGCATACATACACCTTTAATCCCAGAACTCGAGGGCAGAGGCAGGCGGGTCTCTGTGAGTTGAAGGCCAGCCTGGTCTACAAGAGTTAGTTCCAGGACAGGACAGGCTCCAAAGCTACAGAGAAACCCTGTCTCGAAAAACCAAAATAATAATGAGGAGGAGGAGAGGAGAAGAGTCATACGACCCAGACCAAAAAGCAAGGAAAAATGAGGATTTCTGCAGCCTGCCCTTTGGGAATGTGATGGTTGTTCCTTGCTTGTTAACTTGATACACCTGGGAACAGGGACCCTCTGCTGTGTGTGTGTCTGATTTTCTTGATTGCCAGTTGATGTGGGAGGGCCTAGCCCACTATGGGCAGCACCATACCTAGGCAGGCGGGCCCGGGCTACGTAAGTAGGTAGCTGACGGTGAACCTAGAAGAAGGCCAACAAGCAGTATTTTTCCATGGTCTCCATCTCAAGCTCCTGCCTTGAGTTCCTGTTTTGGCTTCCCTCACATGGCAGACAGTGACCTACAAGGTGAAATAAACCCTTTCCTCCCCAAGTGCTGCGGTCGTGGTGTTTACCGCAGCAAGAGAAAGCTAACCAGGACGTGGAAGATAATTCTAGTCTGTGAACAAGGAGCAGGGGATAGAAGCAAAGGGTGTCTGCTGTCACACCACACACTGTGTCGCACTCAGGGATGCCACGTTCTCTCCAGGTTCTGATTCCATTAGTCTTCTGTTTTTGCTTACCATGCGTACATGTTCATGTGTCTGCAGGTGCCCGTGTGTGCATGTGTGCACCCACGCACATGGAGGCCACAGGTCAACATTCTTCAGGAGGCTCAGTCTCTCACTGAGACCTGGAGCTCACTGATTAGGAATGGCTGGCTGACCAGCCAATAGTAAGGATCCGCCCCTCCCTACCTCCCTAGCACTGGGATGACAAGCATCACCATGCCCTGCTTTTTCTATGATTACTAGGACTTGAACTCAGATCCTTGCGCTTTCCACAGTACTTTACCAACTGAGTTGGATCCCTGGCCCTCAGAGTTCACCTAATGTTTTCAACTAACCGCGTTCAGTCTCTACTCCTCCACAGCTGTTTCTCGGGTGTCCTGGGTGGCAGGTTGAGTGGTTTCGTCCCTGTCACATCCAGAGCTCTGCCCAGGGTGACTTGTCTCCCAGGCTCTTCACCACTACCCTAGTTCCAAAGGTTAGGGAGCCAGGATCAGCCTTCCCTCCAAATGGAAGGGATGGGGCTGAGAGGAGCCGGACCTGTGTGCTCCCTGCTGCCGGCAAAGCTCTGTTTTCGGTTCCCTCGTCCTTCAGCTCCTGGCTTTCAGAACATGATTGCTGTTGCTCCCTCTTTATAATCTCCTAAATATAGTTTTAGATGAGGGACTTCTTTTTTTTTTTTAAATTGCAAAATCAGTTTCAATCCAGTGTGTTAACAAGAGGCTCTCGGAGCCGTGCCTATAATAAGCTGTAAGTGGTATATTGATTTCATAGGACAATTTCCTGCATCACAGGAAGAGTAGGCGGGGGGGGGGGCCCTCAGACATCTATCCCTACAGATGCTGCCCAGCCATCAAATGCATGCAGCCAGCTGTGCCCTGCTGCACCGGCCTCTCTCGAGTCCCACCCAACAGCACCCTGAGTGGGTGGGAGCAGGTTTGGCAAATCACAGCACACATGCTGAGGAGAGAGTTGGGTAGCACCCAGCCAGGCTGCAGACACTGGCTCCTGGCTATCTGGGAGTGACCCCCATGTTGCAGACGGGGAGCTGGTTGGCTAGACTCTGCTGTGGAGTCTTGCACACACAATGGCTGTCCAGGCTGAGGTTTTCAGGTGGAAACATGGCCTCTGGTCAAAGCTCATGGTGACAGAGAATTAGAGGGGGTGACATCCTAAGCTGCCTGGATTCCATGGGAAAGGTGACTTTAGCCCGAGGCCCTGTGAATGATGTCCTGAGCACAGGCCTGGGAGTGGGCTTTAAAAATGGACTAACATTTGGATTGGGATTGGAGCTCCAGGCAGGGTCAAAGTAGTAGCAAAGGCTGGGGAGAAAAAAAAAAAAAAAAAAAAAAAACAGTGCTTGTGTTCTGAGATTCTAGCCCAGCATCAGAAGTCAACCCATCTCAGGCTCCATTAGCCAGTGTTCTATCCAAGAGATAGCTTAGTAAAGACATTTTACTTTACTAAGCATGTGCCCAGTTTGGTTGGTCCATGCCACCCTCACCCTGTTCGTCTGTCCCCACTCCCCCTGACCCTTGCCCGGCCCAGGAACTGGATGATATATACCAGGATGCAGCCAGCAATGTGTTACTGGCCCTCTGCCGGCATTCGTGGCCAGCAGTGGCCAAGCACTTGGAGACGGAGCTCCTGACGGGTGTCTTCCCACACCGCAGCCTGTTGTATGTGATGGGCATCCTGACCTCCCAAGGTACGTGCTGCCATAGGATGGATCGAGGGCCGGGCAATGGAAGGAGACTGGGAAGGGCCTCTGGGACCACTCCTCCATGGCCATGGCTACACATGGGCCATGCAGCCTGCAGCTCTAAGCCCCTGCAGTTCAACCGGCCCTCTCAGCAGCCTTGAGTTCCACGTCCCATGAGCCTTCAGTAGCCTTGGCCATGCAAGGGACCTTCCCACAGAGGCGCAAAGGGCCTCCGCACCACTGTCTGATAGATTCACATGGTTGTTGATTCAGGAGTTGGCCCAGATCCTGTGAAGTTGCCATTCTACCTTGACTGTCCCCTATAGTGGTTGTTTAATTGGTCCCCTCCCTTGGCCACACAAGGAAGATGAGACCTCAAAGAAGTAGTGCTGATGACCAGGGTCACCCAGGCTGCCTCACCTCGGACCCTCAGCTTCTGACTCCTCTCATTCATTCACTCCTTACCCAAGCATGTGCTATCCTTATAAATGCCCAGTTGGAAAAGTGCTGGCCCATGACAGGGAACTAGCTGCCCAGAAAGTCACTGTAGGGCTATGCAGAGGGCTTCCTATAAGCAGCAGCCAATATAAGCCTATCTAAGTCAGACCTTGGGAGCTACAGGTCAGCAGCCAACAAGTTCAGGCAGAGAGGAGACATGAGGGGCTCCAAAGAGTTCTAGAGAGTTTGTGCTCGAGCCTGGACCCAAGCAGGATCTTGTTTATCTCACCCTGCCCTCCTTCAAATTGGTAGGCTGAACGGTGTCCCTTCTAATGTAGAAGGACCCCCAAAGCAAGCCCTCCCTACATGGTAGAATTTCCATATTTCTCAAAAGGCCTTCCAGTCCCACAAAGCATCCCCTCCCAGCCTTATATTCCCACACTTGAAGGGACCACAGCACAGCCCAAAGGGCCGTGCTTCAAAAGGGTCCCTCCACTTTCCTACCAGTGGAAAACAAGGTTCAGTGAAGGCAAACAGCCTGCCTGGGCACAGCATTCATGGAGTGCCAAGATGACAGGCCAGCTCTCTGGACCCTGATCCCCATCCCAGCTCATGTTCTTCCTACTGGAGAGTCTCTACCCTACCCTCTTCCCTGTGGATCCCACCAGGCAGGGGCAGGCTGGTGTCTGAGGGATGCATGAGACCTGGCCTGTAGCCCGCCCCCTTCCCCCACAGAGGAGCTGCTCAGGAAAGAAGACAGAGAGAACTGGAAAGATCTTCTGTCCCAGGTACGGAGGGAGCCTGTCACCCTAGACCTGAGGGACATCAGTGAGGGAGAGACAGTGAGCTCATGTGGAACCCCCTGCTGGGGCCTTGGAGGAAGAGTAAAAAGGGAGAGGTGGGGAGGATGAAGGAGTGGGAAGGAGGAAGGGGGGATGGGGATGGCAGGGGCGTAGACAGAGAATTTCTCTTACAGATAAGCACACAGCACCGAGGCAGGAGGTGGCTTGACTAAGGTCACTGGGGGAGCCAGGATTTAAATCGTGGTCACAAGACACTCAGCACAGAGCAGATGCTCAACACCGACAAACTCTTGCCACTCACACTTGGGGGACTGGAAAGGACACAGGGGCCAGAGTTGAGACCTAGGAAGGACGGAGGAAGGTTGGGGTCCACTATGCGACAAGGCCAGAAGTGGAGTCAGGGCAAGCCTATCTCTGACCCTCTCCCAAGTGAGGGGCTTGTACTGGGTTCGAGTCCAAGGTCAACTGTTCACAACAACAGCCTGGGCTGACTTCCTTTGCCCCTCTGGGGCTTAGTTTGCTCATCTGTGAAATGGGGCTAGAGGTGGTTGTGAAGGGCTCGTCCCTCGGTACTGGTCATCAGCACCGTGGTCGTCAGCAGGCAGAGTAGCTGGAGTGGGCTGGGGAGATGAAACGGAACAGCAAGGACTGGAAGACCAGAGACGACATTAGGCACCAGACATTAGGCACGTTTGTCTGACGGGTGCTCCTCCTCGCTACTATGAATAGGACCTGCCTTTCTCCCCCACATGCTGGCTACGTACCAACGTCCAATAAATTTAAAGGGACCAAAACCAAACAAGACTTTCTATGACCAAAACATGAACTAAAGGTCAGTGTTAAAATGCATCTGAAAACACTCCAAATGCTTGGAGAGTAAACAACTCACTTCTCAGTAAAATGTAGGGGAAATGCATCTGAAGGAAATTAGAAAATATTTTTGAGTGTTAATGAAAACACATTTGAACATCCTGAGGTACAAAAAGCTTTTTATATTAGAAGGGGTATAAAACTTCATGGTTGGAAGCTACTAAGGAGTAGCAAGCTAAACCCAAAATAAACAGAAGGAAGAAAATATGCGGTCAGAATGCAGGGACAGGAGAAACGCCCTAAGCTTGAGGCCAGCCTGGTCTGTGTAGCAAGTACAAAGGAAGAAAAGCAAGATCATCAGAAAGGTCACTAAACTGAGTAATAGGGGGGACATGTCACTTTCAGCAAAGAATAATTAACAATGGTACAAACACATTACATATTAAAGAATTCCCTGAAAAAAAACATTATCAGAACTGAAACAAGAAGAAACAGAAGGTCTCCGTAGTAATGTGTCTATTGAAGAATTGAGAACAGCTTTGTGGAATCTTCCTGTTCCAAACCAATCCCACTTTGCCAGCCACTGAATGACATGCTTGCAGAAGAATAAAGGACTTGTTCATTGGTTGCCTAGCAAATGGACACAGGAAAGCAGATCTGAACTCCACCAACGGGGCCTGGGGAGAGGTGACTAGGTCATGCTTTATCCCAAGGCCTGTTAGGTACCACCATAGACGGCTGAGAGTAACTAAGCAGGTGATGGGGGAGGGCTGTTCAGGACAGCGGGTGGCTAGTTCAGGTTTTTCCCTGAGTTTTGCTTCCTGTAAGGAAAACTCCCAGTTCTACCTGGAGGACTTCTGTGCAGTTCTGTGGACCCTGCACAAGCCTACAAGAAGAGCACAGCCGCCATCTTGCTCTAGCCTCAAACTGGAGACACCTGGGGCTGGCAGAGTAATGTCTCCAGCTGGAGATCTGAACCCGTGACTCAGTGTTCTTAGGAAGCCAGACAAGGAGAACCCTCCTGAACCCAAATCAACCCAAAACAACCAAATTCTACATTAAAAAAAAAAATGAAGTTCTGATGCAGGCAGCAGCATGGATGGATCTCAGAAACTCTCACACTTAGTGAAAAAAACATCAGATGCACAGAAACATGCAGTGAAGGACAACAAATACATACAGTTCCAGAAATTCCACTTTCTTATAATGAAATAAATCAGAAAGGGTTGTGCCGGGGGTGAGTCTCGGGAGAGCTCACAGATCCAGTAGCTGGAAAGCACATGAATCTCACAGTTCTAAGGTGTGTTCACATCTCTTGCCCTCTGCACTGTGAATTTCACTGTAACTGAACTACGCCTGAGTGTTTTAAATGAAGAGAACGCCCTGTAGGTAACGGGGTGTGCACCAAACCCAGTGACCTGAGTTCTAGTTCCAGGACTCACATGAAGGAGAACTGACTGCCTTAAGGTTTCATCTGACCACACACATGCCATAGCAAATGTATACGCACACACACACCATCATCATCATCACCATTATAAATTAAATGTACTTTTTAATTTATTTTTATTTTCTGCCTTAATGTGTATTTATATATCATGTGTGTGGTATCTGCAGAGGCCAGAAAAGGGCAATGGATCTCCTGGAACTGGAGTGACAGATGGTTGTGAGTCACTATTTGGATGCTGGGAACTGAACCCAGTTCTTCTGGAAGAGCAGCCAGTGCTCTTAACCACTAAGCAATATCTCTCTCTCTCTCTCTCTCTCTCTCTCTCTCTCTCTTTCTCTCTCTCTCTCACACACACACACATACACACACATGTGTGTGTATGTGTGTAATATGTGATATATGCAATATACAATATGTTATATATAATATAGTATTAATATAATGTATTATATATGATGTATTATATATCATATATAATATGTATTGCATATATATGCACATATAATGCATGTTGTACATGTGTGATATATTGATATCATATATGATATGATACATGTAATGTATACTAACATGTTATATAGTAAAATACATGTTATATTATCCATACTGTAATACATGATATGCTACAGATTATACATCATATGTTATAATATCTATGTTATAATATATGGTATATTGTTATATACTAAAAATTATATTATGTATGATATACTATAGTATATATATTATATAGTTCATATATATTAATTGAGGATAGACTTCAACATTTCAAGTATTTAGGTTTTTCTAAGTGTAGTGGTGTCTGCCCTGTGTACCCCCTGGCTGCTCTGAACAGAGTGTGTGTAGCCCACTCACAGACAGAAACACTAACCACCTCTGCTGCAGGGAGTCAGGTATGCACAAATCCCATAATCTATGTCACATCAGCTTGGGTCAGGCTGGGCCACACTGAGGACACTGTAGAGCTATAGGGAGGAAAATGTTTAGTTTTCTGAGTTTTGAAATTTGCATTGCAGACAAGAGGCTCTGGTACTAGCACAGTGAGCAGACAGAAGGGAGTGGGAGAGAAGACAAGAGCCCCCCCCCCACACACACACCTGTTTCTGGGTAACCTGGAGGCTTCCCAGCACCCACATTGCTCTGGGATTAAGATGGCATCTGTTCTATATCCTAGAATGCAGGGAGAGAACCAAAAACAGGGCCCAGGCCGGACAAGCACACTTTAATCAGGTTCTGCCATCTGTGGAGACCAATTGCCATCTCAGGGATGAGAGGACTAAGGCTGGGGATGATACAAGCATCCCTACCTACAGGGGGCGCTCTAAATCGTCTGTCCTGCAAGACAGTGAACGACACAAACATTCCTACCTACAGGGGGCGCTCTAAGTTAGTCGTCTGTCCTGCAAGACAGTCCCCCTTGGGATCACTTTTTAGTGATTTAGGACTTCTTTAGTATAAATTTCTAAAAGTTTAGCTGCTTAGACAAATGTATTTTAGGTTTTTATTGATGTCAGTTTGTTTTTTTTTAATTGCTATTGCCAAAACCTTCACACATACACACACACACAAAGCTGCAAACTCTCTCGCTCTGCCACCAAACAACGCTTCCTTTCACTTACAGATCTGTTGGGCATTTTCAGTGCCACGCACACAGGGCCTTGATGAAAGCAAGAGACAGTCCTCACAAGCTGTATGGGGCTGCTGCCTGCTGACACTGTTGTACAATGACTTCTCTTATAAGCAGGAAGTATACTCAAATAATGATCAAAGGAGTGGCTGCATAAGCCAGCAACAGAGCCATTTATCATGATCAGGGACTACACACCTCACAGTAATTGTGTGTGTCAGGCTTGACAGGTCTGGTGGCGCAAAGCCTGTTCCCGCCAGCATCACCACATTACCACAAAACACACACACACCATATGAGCAAAGACACTATGACAGCTGTAATAGAGATCTCCCAGATCATTTTAACTTTATGGGACCATATTGTCTATGGTCCCCAGTTGATGGAAATGACCGTGCGCATCCAGCCTTTATGCAGTCTTGTCCTCAAGTTATGTAATTACTTTCATTTCCATTTTTTAAATATTCATTATCTATTTATTTTGGGGAAATGTGTGGAGAGTTACATGAATGTGTCCATGTGCACACCCATCTGGACCTCAGGTGTCTTTCTCTACTGCTTTCTGCCTCGGTGCCTTGAGGGTCTCTAACTGAACCTGAAACTCACCATTTTGGCAAGGCTGGCTAACTAGCAAGCTCCCAGAATTTATCTGGTTTCACTTCCACCCCTCTCACCTCCCCCACCCTAGTGCTAGGATTACAGATACTTGTAGCAATGCCTGGTTTGTTGGTTTGGTTGGTTGGTTGGTTGGGGTTTTTTTTGTTTGTTTGTTTTTGTTTTTTAATGTAGGTGCTGAGGATTCAAACTCAGGTCCTCAAGCTTGCCCAGCAAGCTCCCTTAGCCACTGAGCCACGGCCTCAGCCTCCAATGTCCACTTCTTAAATATCTGACAGGCTGAGCTTATACCATCTTCATCATACGTCCCCTTTTGCCATTTCCAAATGAATTATCAGAGATATCTTTCTATTGCTGTGAAGAGACACTATGACCAAGGCAACTTACAAAGGAAACCATGTAATTGGGGGCCTGCTTGCCGTTTTAGAGGGTCCATAATCATCATGGCGGAGCACATAGCAGCAGGCAGGCAGGCACTGGAGCAATAACTGAAAGACTGTGTCTGGTCTACAAACAGGAGACAGAGAGAGCGCAAACTGGAAATGGTGTGGGCTGTTGAAATGCAGAGAGACACACCTCCTCCAACAAGGCCACACCTTCTAATCCTTCCTAAATAGTTCCACCATCGGGAGGCCAAGCATTCCAATACATGAGCCTACGGGGACCATTCTCATTCAAACTACCACATTCTACTCCCTGGTCCCCACAGGCTTGTAGGTATATCGTAATATCCAACTCAAAAAAAAAAAAAAAACACATAGCTTTTCATAGTCTCAACACTATTGAAAAGTCCAATGAGAAAGTCTTCTGAGACTCAAAGCCATCTCTTAATTGTAGCCCTTGTAAAATCAAAAAGCAAATTATATGCTTCCAACATGCAATGGCACAGAATATACATTATCATTCCAAAGGAGAGGAAAGGGACACCTCAATATTTTCTAAGATTTGGGGATTCAGAGGATGTCCCTAACTCCAGAAGAATGCTGAGGACAAAACCTCAGACTTGTTGACTTGTAGAATCTGAGAACACTGGAAACGAAGATCTCATAGTCATCATGACAAATTTCCTATTGAGCGAGGGTGTGGGCTTCCAGAATCCTGTATCTAGAAATGCAGGATTGCCATTGCATTCATTCACTTGATCGCTCATTTCCCTAGGAAATAGCAGAGTGTGCAGGCTCCCACCCTGCCAGGCACTGGGAGCACACTTCAGAGGAAACAGACTGAGTCCTGCCTAAGGTCCTCGCCCTGTCTCGGGGCCACTTTCACTGACACATCTGGTCTGAGCCCTCGGCGCATGTTGGGAATGCAGCTTCCCAGACTTGTGGATATCCTAAACACATCTGGGGGTACCTTGAGGAATGTGTTCCCCATCTCTGAGATCCATCCAACAAGCCAAAGAGCTGAGTTCAAGAAACCCGGGGGGATAAGGGAGTAGGGGATGATGGAGTTAGGGCTCTCAGGCTAGGGGGGAATGCCTCCAGCCCTGCCCCACCCCACCTGCTCACAGATGGCCAGAAAGTCGGTGCCATTCCTGAACACAGATGTGTGGTCCAAGGAATTGCTGTGGACCCTTACCAAGTCTGACCAGATGCAGCAAGCACACACCCCAGAGAAGGTAAGCCCACTGCCCCCAGGGACCCCAGCCATGCACCACACAGGCCCATGGGCTCTGTCATAGGACACATAGGGTCCTTGCAAGAAACTAGAGGAGCCAAAGGCAACAGGATCCAGGCCTGGGCAGCTGGACTAGAAGGGTCTCCCTCCCTCACCACAGGCGGGGTTTTAAGGCCACCCTGGGGCAAGATGGGAAGGGTGGCCATAGGGTCAGGGAAGCCAGGGAGGTTGGTCATAGGAACTCAGGCCAGGCAGGTCCCACTCAGGACAGGATGTTGAACCCCACCAGGACTTCCTGTTCGCCTACTATGGGCTAATCCTTCAAGCTGAGGAGAACAGCACCACCGTCAGGACACACCTCAAAACCCTCTTGGAAACATCTCACCAGTGGCCCAAGCAGCGGGAGGTAAGGGCCCAAGGAGGGGGAGATGAGGACCCAAAGAGGGGGAAGTGAGGGCCCAAGGAGGGGAAGGGAAGGGCCCAAGCAGAAGGAGGTAAGGGCCTAGTCTCCTTTGATCCTCTAACTTCCTGACCCAAACCACAGATTTGGCCATGTTCACCACTGAACCCTGTTTCTGGTCATAAAGTGACTTGTACCTGGTCACTTACTGATCCCTAATTTCCATCATACACTGAGCCCTGATCCTGGTCACACACTGAACCTTGATCCTGTCATACTGCGCCCTGACTCTGGTCATACTCAGCCTTGTTCCTAGTCACAGAATGAACCCTCTGCTTGGTTTCACACTGAACCCTGATCATCATAAGCCTCATTGTTAGTCCTGCCCACACACTGAGCTCCTCTCCTCAGAACACGCTGAACCTTGGTCCTCTCATAGACAGAGCCCTGATCCTCGTCACACACTGAACCTTAATCCTGTCACATATTAAGTACTGACCCTGGTCACACACTGAGTCCCCATCCTAGGGGGTTCTCATCCCAGTCACACTCTGAGTGCTGATGCTGGTCACAACCTAAGCCCTCATCCTGGCTACATGCTGAGCCCTGATCCTAATCATGGGCTCCAGTCTTAATCCTACTGTCCGAGCCCTGATCCTGGTCACACACTGAGCCCCAGTGCTGCTTACAATCTGAGACCCGACCATGAACACTCACTGAGGCCTGATCCTTGTCTTATACTAAGCCCTGATCATGGTCATGGACTCTAATCCTGGCTACATTCTGAGCTTTCTGCTTGGTCACATCCTGATCTCATCACACAACTAGGCCCTGATCCTGCTCCCACCCCAAGTCCTGAGCCCTGAGGCCTGCACCCTGATCACAGTATGAACTCTAGCTCAGTCACAAGCTAAACCATTACCTCATCCCTTTCTTCTCATATATATCTTCCTCCCTACTCCTGAGCATGTCTGCTCAGAGCCAGCATGAGGGACAACCAACCAAAGGTTTCCTCTCCACCTCTTTTCTCCCCAACGCGACCCACCAGACTCCACAAGAGACACCTCATGGGTATCTCACCTCTGAGCTGCGGGCCCTAAAGCGTGTGTGAGTCCCTGCACCCTGCCGGTGGGCTGGGGAGGCACTGAGTCCAGTTCACAGTCTCAGGGGACTCTGCCCACAGGGCATTGCTCTCACGGTGGGACTGACTGCGGTACGCCACTTGGACGATGCCTGGGCCATCCTAGAACAGTTTGGACGGAGCACGTCCGTCAAGTGGAGCCTGCAGAACTTCTCCCTGAAGGTATCAGCGCAGGGCTCCTGGGGCTGCAGGGCCAGGGGCGGGAGGGACGTCAAACCCCACACTGCCTGAAGGAAAGCAGAACAACTACTGTGGGATTTTGGTTGTCATTGAGGCGAGGATTTATTTGAAAAGTAAGACACTTGGCCTGAGAACTCCTTGCGAACACCGGAGGAGGCTCCACGCTTGTGCTACCTTACTGCACCCTACATGATTCCCCCTGGAAGACACAGTGCCTGGGGACCTCTCCCCTGGGAGTCCTTGGCCAGGAGCCTCTGATGGGTCTTTGTATCTGGCAAGTGGCAGAACTGGGGTACATGCCTCAGACTCTCAGAGGGCACCTGGCACTGAAAAATAATACCACCATGCTAGTACTCAGTGGCATCTGAGAGGAGAGGTGACGCTGGACCACACCCAAGCAGGAAATTCCACTTGGCCCATTACTGTCTGTCTGGATAGGAGCATGATCTTTCCAGGCCCCCAGAGGCCCACTAGGGTACGGTGCACCAGACTCGTCTCAGGCAGTAAGGAAAGGGGTGCTGGGCTACGGGGAAAGGGCTATCACAGGAGGCACCCCAACTCTTCCAGTTCCAACAGAACCAAGTGCCTTACACATAGCCCTGGGTGTCCCAGCACAAATCAGTCCAACCTCCTAAAAGCCAGTTCCACGTCTGCTGTTCTCATTTGGTGAACAAAGACCCTTTAGACGACCCCTCTCCCACCTTAATGGGATCAGGGTGCGCCCCCCACCAACTCCTCAAGTAGACTGTGGGCAAAGCCTGACACCAAATCCACCCCTACCCGGCCCCACGCCCAGAGCCTCGAGGACCTTCGGTGGAAATGGGCTGGCAGCACCATCCTCCTCTCCTACGGCCAGATGGCAGCCAAGGCCAAGAGCCACATCCTGCCATGGGTGGACAATATCTTGTCCAGGATGATCTTCTACTTCCGCTTCAGCTCCTGGGTACAGGTTGCCTTGTTCGCCCTCACCCCCGTCCTGCACCTCCTCCCCCCTCCCACGGGGAGTCAGAGAGGCCCAGGGCCACCTTTGACCTATGCCCACCTCCACACTGCCCCAAACTCCTTGAATCAAATGGGGGGGGGCTCTTACAAAGCAAATGCTGGATTTTCACTTGGGGAGGGCATGGTGCCCATCTCTAAGGAGTACCATAGCTCAGGTTGTTGCAAGAGCCAGCGGCAAGCCTTACCCATCACGCTGTAGCCACCTCAGCCCAGAAAGCCTCACAGGTGCCCCTTCCTAAAGAAAACCCCACCCACAAGCTCCCAGCCCAGCCGTCTCTGCCACATCCCTCTCACCCTGACCTAACTGCACCTGGAGATGGTGTCCTTGGCCTCCCCTCTTGTTCTCTCCTGTAAGCTCCTGGGCTCTCAGCCTGATCTGTGCCCTGGGGCCTGACCTACACAGGATGAGACCCTGAAACAAAGCTTCCTAACGGCCATCACGATGCTTATGGGAGCCATCAGCCGGAGTGAGGGCGCCCACAGCTATGAGTTCTCCCAGACTAGCGAGCTCCTGGAATGTCTGATGGTATGTACCAGGCCCTGGGCACGGGCAGCGCCCCCTCCCTCGGTGCAAGAAGCCCCTCCCCCAGCCCATCTGAAATACTCCGTGTCCTTCAGGTGACCTGGGTCTTGCTGGGACCCTGTATGCCCACATTACAGCCAGTGCCACTGAGACACAGGAAGGCCAGCACACTCTATTCTATATGCTTTCTTGACTCAGGTCCCAGGTCAATCACTTAGGATTCTGGCTCCCTAGACAGATCTGCTGGGACAATGGGAAATGCACAAGAGACTGGGCAGTAGTATCAGAAGCAAAGGGCATTGATAAGGCAGGGTGGCTCCTGTCTCCTGCCTGGGACCCAACAGCAAAGTGAAATAATTTCTAAGGAAGCAAGAGTCAGAGCAAGCTGGAGCTAGTCCGGGGAGGAGCAGGCAGCTTGAACTCAGTATCCAGGACTCAGACCTGGCTTGTCTAATTCCAGAGGCCACGCTGGCTCTCTAAGGGGGAGCCAGGTCTCACTACCAGGTGGATAAAGACAGACAGCATCAGCGCCTGAGTTGCGTAGCGTCCTGAAATTCTGAGGTAGGGCTAAGATTTGGCGTCGGGGGCCGAGTCAGCTAGGCCTGAGCCTCTGCACCTTCTCCCGTGGCTTTACAGATACTGATGGAGAAAGAGCCACAAGACACACTGTTCACCAGCATCCGCCAGCAGGTCATCCACATTGTCTCCAGCCTCTGGTAGGTTACAGCCTATGGGGGCTGCCTTGGCCCAAAAAGGCAGCTCCCTGGCCAGGATGCTAGCTGGACAAGGTGGAGGGAAGTCAGACACCAAGGCCCTGCAGGGGAGAGCTTGGAGCTGAGCCACTACAGGTCACGGGGGTGGGGGGAGAGGAAGGGGGCTAGAACATTTATCCTGAGTACAGCCACTCGACACAGTGAGCTGAGTCTCCACTCCTAGTACTCAAGTAGGGAAGAATCTAGAAGGAGGCCAAAGGAAAGCTGCATCTAACCCCAGTCAAGCCCCAGGGCATGAATCTAGAGAGCTTGGGAGCCCCAGACCCCAGGGATACAGGTCCCAGTTTATCTCTCCACCCACAGATCAGGGAGGAGGTGAGACAGGGGAGATCAGAGTTGCCTGCTCTCAGACTATAGCAGGCAATTCACATGGTGCTTGGCAGGGTGGCAAATGGAACTGAGCAGACATCCATGCCGACTGCATTCCCGGGGGCTTCGCCTCTGCAAACCCGCACTTCGTTTTCTGCCAATGCACAGAGATCACTCTGGGTGCTTGGGGACTGTCTGGTTTCTTAGGACCCAGCTGAAACCAACAGCAAACACCCCTGTTCTCCAAAGACGCCCCTGGAAATGGGAAGCATACCACACATAGGGCTGGGAAAGTTACCCAAAGAGACCAAAGCAGGAAGTAAGATAGGGAGGAACATCCTCACGAGGCAAAGAAGGGTAGGAGCGCCAACACTGCGTCAAAGAGGCTGATTGGGGCTGGAGAGATGGCTCAGTGGTTAAGAGCTTTGCCTGCTCTTCCAAAGATCCTGAGTTCAATTCCCAGCAACCACATGTGCTCACAACCATCTGTAATAAGATTTGGTGCCCTCTTCTGACCTACAGGGATACATGCAGGCAGAACGCTGAATATATAATAAATAAACAAATCTTTTTTTTAAAAAAAAGGGGGGGGCTGATTGACAGCTGGTAGAGTATCGATTCATAGACTAGTCCTATAAGCCTGGTGTTCTGCCAGAGTCCAGGACAAGACCTAAGGCTGGCTTAAGTTGGCTGAAACAGGACTGTTAAGCAAAGTCCTGCACGGATGAGTCAGTGAGCCCTGCAAGTACTTAGCTACAGGAGCGGCACCTTCAAAGGCCCTCACAGGGCACGTGGTTGGGTTGACAGACCAGTAGGAGACTGGGGAGGTGAATGTGTGCACGCACGAATCCCTGTGAGAAGCAAAGGCTGTGGGTTCGGTGAGGTCTGTGCCCTGACCGCTGCCCTCCCGGTCCCAGGCCCTCAGGATCCTTCACCTTCCCAACAGCCCACTGAGACCACCCATGGATGTGGACAGGAAGTCCCGGCTCCTCTCCATCTGCTTCCGCAGCATCTTTGCCCTGCCACTGCTGGATGCCCTGGAGAAGCACACCTGCCTCTTCCTGGAACCACCCAACATCCAGGTACAGCCTGCGCTTAAGCCCAGGGGATTCTCAGGTAGGAGGTCAGGCTCAGTCTTCTGTGTGTGGCAGGGTGGGGAGCATGGCCTGGCCACTCCACAGGCAGGTTGAAGGTCCTGCATAGTTGCCTAAAGGCTCTGGGTCCCCATTTGCCCTCCTGGAACATGGCCCATTATTATCTTTTGGGCTGTGCTAAGGTAGGTGGCTTACCTGGTATGTGCCTGTTCAGGAGCTCTATATATAATGAAATGCATGGTCTCCTTGCTGACCGAAAATCCGTGCAGAATAAGCAGAGTCACCACTGTGTTTCTCTCCCTCCAAGTCCCAGGGCCACCCAAGGAATTCACAGAAGAGAGGAGATGGCTCTTTCAAAGGGATGAGTTCCCTGATATTACAGGGATTGGTCCTGTCGCACTAAGATGGTTTACAGAGTCACTGTCCTTGCGGGTTGGGTTGCATTAACCACGCCTGCCTGCCTACCTGGGTCACTCACTAGATCAGGCCTCTCCTGTTTAATTCTAAGCAGACCCTACAGGAAAGATGCTTGCCATGTCTCATGGCTACCACCAGAGGGCGCATGAGATTGTCAGGCGTAGTCCCAGCCCCACGTGACTGGTAAAAGGCAGGATGGCTTTGTAAAGTGAATTTCACAGGCATCGGTTGTCTGTGGACCCTCCCCACCTTCCCACAGCGACTGGGGGAGGGCAAGGAGTACACATCTCAGAAGAATAAAGTCAGCAGTGGGAAGGCCAATATCTGAACCCTACTCTAGGGTCCCTACTTATATTACACATCTGTGAGGCTGGGCCCAGGCTGCGTGAGGACAGACAAGCGCTGTGGGACAGGTGGTGACAGGGGAGGAGGAGTATCCGCCTCAACATCTTTCAAAGCCCCTGGTGACTAGAAGACTCCTTGACTGTAGTGAAGGGGCTGCGGACAGGCCTGCTTTTCGTCCTGCCCAGC